TAAAAAAATGAATTTTTTAAAGGATCGAAGAGATGCTCAGAAAATGAGCAGTTATTTTCTTAGAGTTCCTTTACAGAACAAAGGTCTCTGAAATTGTGGCTGATGGAATAAGAGGCTTGCTTGAAAGAAAAGATACTGAGCATGAGAGAGAAGATAAAGTTTATAAAGGGAGCATCAAAAGGAGGCTGAGATGAAGGAATAAAGGAAAGTGAGAGACAAGTTAGTTCAGGCAGTAACCATGGTAGAACATTTTTTTCCTAATAACCTAGAAGAAAGTTACCACAAGTACTTCTGAATGTTGCTTTCAGAGCATGACTGCAAGGAAGGAAAGATGGAGCTAGTATTTTTTAGCACTTACCAGATAGCAGTAGCAGACAACTGTTAGGAATTCGTGTGTGTGTGTGTTGGGGGGGGGCACTCAACAATCATTTAATAAAGCAGACACTATTTTCATTTTATAGATCAGGAAAATGAGGCCGAGAGGTTGATTGGCTTAATTCACACAGATAGTAAATGATAGCATCAGAATGTAATGCCTCTCCATCTGATTCCAAATTCCACACTTTTTTCAACAACCCACTTCTCCCAGAATAAGACCAAAGGGGAGGAGAAAAATCATTGTGCTCCCTAAAAGTTTTGTCTTTAAATCTTGCCTGTAAAGCCCCAGGCCTTTGAGTGGTACCTGTCCTACCTATGAAGACATCCTATGGAAGTAAATTTGGTAATTAAAATGTTCTAGATATCTTATATGGGAAATTTTTTAAAATAAAAAGAACAAAAGCTTTGCTTCCCATATCAGGCTGGCTTCCCCAATTCTTCACTGTACTTGGAGGCTGATATGGTTTTACTGTGTCCCCACCCAAATCTGACCTTGAATTGTGATAATCTCCACATGTCAAGGCCAGGTGGAGACAATTAAGTCATGGGGGTGGTTTCCCCCATACTTTTCTCTACATGGTAGTGAATAAGTCCCATAAGATCCGATAGTTTTAAAAATGGCAGTTCCCCTGCACAAGCTCTCTCTTGCCTGCTATCAAGTAAGATGTGACTTTGCTCCTCCTTGCCTTCCACCATGATGTGAGGCCCCAGCCATGTGAAATTATAAGTCAACTAAGCCTCTTTCCTTTGTAAATTACCAAGTCTTGGGTATGTCTTTATCAGCGGCGTGAGAACAAGCTAATACAGAGGCAATAAAGGAGTTTTATATCAGATCAAACAGAGGACATTATCAAGGCACCCCAAGCCAAAAAGATAAGGAGAAAGAAGAATTAGATAGAATCACTGAGTTTACAAAGCAAGACCACGAAACACATTTACATGTTTTCCCTGTGTCATATTTAAGTGGCCGTCATTTGTTTTTTTTTTTTTTTTTTGAGAATTGCAAAGTGACCCCGTTGACTTTGGCAGCTACCCAAAAGCCTAAAATCTCTAGAGTTTACCCAGTGTCACCCTGAGGAGGTAGGATGCCCTCACACAAAAGCAGAGGGTTTGGGCAATCACTGACACTAACTGTAGTGAGTTGAATGGTGCCTCCCCGCCAAAATATATGAACCTATACATGTGATCTTATTTGGGGGAAAAAAAAAAGTCTTTGAAGACTTAGTTTAATTAAGAATCTCAAGATAAGATCATTCTGGATTACAGTGGACCCTAAATCCAGTGAAAGTGTCCTAGGGGAAAAGGGAAGAAGGAACACATAGGAGATGATTTGAAGTCAGAGGCAGGGATTGGGGCGATGCATCTACCTACAAGCCAAGGAATGCCAAGGATTGCTGAACCCTGGGAAAAAGGCATTCCCAGTAGTCCCCCTCTTATCTGAGATTTCACTTTCCACAGTTTGAGTTACCTGAGGTCTGTGATTTGAAAATATTCAGTGGAAAATTCCAGAAATAAACAATTCATAAGTTTTAAGTTGTGCCATTCCGAGTAGTGTAATGAAACCTCACACTGTCCTGTTTTCATCCTGCTCAAAATATAAATCATCCCTTTGTCTAGTATAGATACCTCCTGTGGATACAGTGGTATATCCAACGTGTCTGAGCTCCCTACCCATTAACCACTTAGAAGCCTTCTTGGTTATCAAATCGACTGTGATGGACTTACGGTGTTTGTCTTCAAGAAACATTTCTTTGACTTCACAATGGCCTCAAAATACAAGAGTAGTGATACTGGCAAGTTGGGTCTGCCAAAGAAAAACTGTGAAGTCCTTCCTTCGAGTGAAAAGATGAAAGTTCTTAACAAGGAAAGAAAAAACACACAGATTGAGGTTGCTTAGATCTACAGTATGAAGGAAACTTCTGTCTGTGAAATTGCAAAGAAGGTAAAAGAAAGTTGGGCAGTTTTGCTGTTGCACTTCAAACTGCAAAAGTTGCAGCCGTAGCACAGGATAAGAGCTTAGTTAAGATGAAAGGGGCATTAAGCTTGTGGGTGGAAGACAAGAACAGAAATCTGTTCTGATGAACAGACTTGGGCTCACTACTATCTGTGGTTGTAGGCATCTACTGGGGATGTTGGAACACATCTCCCATGAACAAGGGAGGGACTTGTGTAATGAGTCTCACAGAGCCTCCAGAAGGAACCAACTGACAATTTCATTTCTGGACCAGATCTGAGAGAGAATCCATTTCCATTGCTTTAAGCCATCCAGTTTCTGGGTCGCTTATCCTAGGAAAATAGGGTAGAAGCCCTAGGAAACTAAGTTTAGAAAATGTCAAGAAAAGCCTTATAAAATGGACACTGAGGGAAAAACAAGTTACCTTATCTTGTCACCAAAGGTAAGACAAGGAAAAGAAAACTGATATATACCAGCCTGAATAAAAAGCTTGCGGCACTTTGGGAGGCCGAGGCGGGTGGATCACGAAGTCAAGAGATCAAGACCATCCTGGTCAGTATGGTGAAACCCCGTCTCTACTAAAAATACAAAAAATTAGTTGGGCATGGTGGTGCGTGCCTGTAATCCCAGCTACTCAGGAGGCTGAGACAGGAGAATTGCCTGAACCCAGGAGGCGGAGGTTGTGGTGAGCCGAGATCACGCCATTGCACTCCAGCCTGGGTAACATGAGTGAAACTCCTTCTCAAAAAAAAAAGCTTGCCCAGCAATCAAAAGTTCTTTTCCCCTCTCTGACAATTTCATGACGTTGGCAGAGTTTCTCAATGGACAAACTGCATTAGTATAATGTAGAGTATGGGCCAGGCAGGGTGGCTCACACCTGTAATCCCAGCACTTTGGGAGGCCAAGGCCAGTGGATCACCTTAGGTCAGGAGTTAGAGACCAGCCTGGCCAATATGGAGAAAACTCATTTCTACTTAAAATTCAAAAATTAGCTGGGCGTGATGGTGGGCACCTGTAATACCAGCTACATGGGAGGCTGAGGTAAGAGAACTGCTTGAACAAGGGAGGCGGAGGTTGCAGTCATCCAAGGTCATACCACTGCAATCCAGCCTGGGTGACAGAATGAGATTCCATCTCATTTAAAAAAAAAAAAAAAAAAAAAAGAATTCTGCAGAGTACGAATGAACCAGACAATAGGGTTGGGGCCTAGGAATCTTATGAAAAAAAAAAATCTGAGGACCAATGAAGGTCAACAGTTCTAACTGCTCTCTCATACACCTTAGTGTTTCACAAAATTAGTTGTGAGAACAACCAATATTTGGGATGATTTTAGCATAGAAGTCTTATCCCTCTGTTTTATTGTGCATTGAAATACTAAATACAACCGGTATCTCACACACCAATCATTTCATAGATATTATTACTTACAATGAAGCCAAGTAAAAATCTAAGGTAAAATTTACTAAGCACATCATGGAGCAGACTGTAGATGGATGTAAGGTAACTCAGGAGAGTGCCACATGAACAGGTGAAATTCAGGAAGCCAATCCAAGAGTGCCCGGAGGGAAGTGGTTCTCTGAATCTGCCCTCTTGACAACACAGCTCATTCCATCCTCCTGCATTTTACATCAGGCACAGAAGGATGTACATAGAAAAGATTCACACCCACCCACAATTGCCCTGGAGAAGGAAGGGAAGAGACAGAGAGCCTTTACTTTGTTACCACAGAGCCTCTGAGTTAAGCCAGATGCCCCTGCCTGTCTCTACCTAGAGAACAATTGAAAATGGGTGGAGGTAGCAGGCTCCTAGAAGCTGGGCCCTAGTGGGTGGAAGCAACGTGCATGTGTTAGTGGTCAATGAGACTTGGGTGGCCTGATTCTGTATTGTGCATGATTTGCTTTTCTGGCCATAAATAGGTCTCACGGTGAGACAGCAGAACCAAAAAGAGTAGGGGCTCCTGAACAGGTAGCCACTCCAACACTTCTCAGGGACTCAGCCCTTTGCAGGCCACAGAGCAAAGGGATTGTTGAATGTCAGAGTGAAAGAGACCTACAGGTGATCCAAGTCTCTCATTTTCCAGTTGAAAAACAGGAATACAAAGGGAGAGTTGTCTGGTCAAGGTCGCAGCACTGATCGGTAACTGAAGTTGGTTGGATCAATTAAAGCTTCCTTTTCCGCAGCCCTGGTATGATAAATGACTCTCTACGCCAGTTCCTTAGTAGGGACTCATGACTGCCTGTCTCCCTGGCAGTGACAGAAACTGCAATCCTATTCAACTCATTTGATGATTTGGTATAGGATTCAGAGGGGCACGCGGCGAAGGCTGAGCGAGCGCTGTCTGTGGTGAAGCTCATCACAGGATAAGGCCATGCCCCACGCAGCTCAGTCGGAGCTGGGCTTGCGATGATCCACCCAGAGTAGTTGTTTAGGGCGGGGGCTGCGCAGAACTCATAAAAGATGTAAGAGGGGGAGAAAGTTGGCAAGAAGTGGATGCTTTCATCTACAGAGAGGTCCCTGAGCCCTAAAGAAACTGCACCCATCCCCCCACCCCACTCCTCCACACACACAAAAGTTCACCCACTACACCTGCCTTCCCCAGATGGGGCTCCCTGCGCAACGCCTTCTCGTCCTCCAGGATTTTCCAACGGTGGCGCAAGCTCCTCCCTCAACCGAGCTGGGCGCCGTCCTAGAGCCAAGCGCCCGCCAGAGCGGAGACTGGGGGGCGGCGAGGAGTGGGCCCAGCTTGCGGCCATTGGTTGTGCGGCCCGGAGGGGCGGGGGGACGACGCGCGGGCTGTGCAGAGCCTGCAGCCCCGGTCCATTCCGGCTGCGCCCGCTGCTAGCCGTGCGCCCAGGCTGCCCGCCGCGCCCCTGCGCCCGACATTCCCGAGGAGTGCTTCGCGGGTGCGGATCGTCCAGCCCGGAGCATCGCCCCACCGCGAACGCAGGAGCCCGGCCCGGGAAGTCGCGTGTCCTGACCTGCAGGTCGGTGAGGGAGACTTGCAGGGTTCCAAGCTCTGGGGGTGAACTTGCCCAACGCGGGGGCGCCCCGACTCCTTGCCTGGGGCGGCCTTGGGTCCTGGAGGAGAGCGGCCTCCCAGACTCTTTCCGGGCTCCCGGAGATCTGGCTCCTTGCTGTGGACCACCCCCAAATCTATCCCTTTCGCGTTGTCCTTACTGTCCCGAGCAGCACCTGCAGCCCGGTCTCCGAGTCTCGGGGTGACTCCATGGGCTGCAGTAGGAGCCGCTAGGGGCCCTGAGCGCAATGTCCTTGGCCCCGGGATGACCTGCCTCAGTCCCCGACACGGGGAGCCGGAAAGGTCTACCCTCGCGTCAGCCGCTCTGCAAAGGTGGATTCCTCCAGACAGGCGTAGACAGTTCTACACTTTGCAGAATGTTGTCTAGGTGCATTCTGTTTGCTTTTGCCTTTGTAGTGTGTGGAGGGTCATTCTTGGGTTTGTTTTGCTCCTGTCTGATTTTCTAGGGTCATTTGCGTCCCTTCCCGGGAACGGGAACCCGCCACGAGCACACTGACAGCTGGCTTTGCACCTTAAGGCGCTAGCGAGTCTTTTCGCCTGTCTTCGGGTGGCCCTAAATCCGGGGAAGTTTTATGTGGCGCTGAACACTTGCGTTTCCCAGGAGTGTTTTCCCTAGCTCCCGGAAACCCAGTAGGTAACTGCGCCAGCGGCCCTTCCCCTTTTCCCAGGTCTGATGAGACCCTGGAATCCTGCCTTTCCCTGTCAAGGTGTGCAAATGATGAGCAAATTGCTTAAGTTCCGATTTAGGAAAGGGATCTGTAATGTGCCCTCCACCAGGGAGCAGAGGGACCCATTCATTCACAGAAATATCTTGCTGGGGACCAGGATTAGGGCTATGCCTGCCCGCTTTCCTCCACCAGATGCCTGGGCTCCTTCGGTCTCGGGTTTGATCTCAGACTCTAGAGACGGGGTCTGTTTCTTAATGTCCTTCATTTCCTCTCCCCGATAATTTTCATTCGGAAACTGTTCTGCTAAAGTAAGTACTTCGGTGGTTCTTTGTGGTAGATGACGGGCTCCCATGGCTAGAGGATGTCTCAAAGCGTCGCATTTGATACAACCCGTACTACAGGTGCAAAGGGCGGGGAAACTGACAGCCTTATTGTCCTGGGGCGGACCCGCGGGACTACTCCCTAAGACGTTTCTCCTAGGTGCTTTCTCCTAGGTGCTTCCAGGATTCATTGACAACAGCCTGTCAACAGGAAAAGAGGCTCGACAAGTGATGGTCTTTCTTAAAGGGTTTGTCTCTTCATGCAGTCTTGCGGAGCGCATGCACCCTCTGGGGGGAAAACATATATATATATATATATATATATATATATATATATATGTATATATTTAATTTGCTGAATTATACAACTAGACTGGGTGTCTCAGCTTATTTGTGATCCTGCCCATAGAGGTTCTTAAGTATCTTTTTGTAACTAAATACTCTTCATTTACTAAGTAGAGTGATGTCTTTTCCCCTCTACCACCACACACAGGACACTGTTTTTAGTTGATCTGTAATGTAAATTGCCTTTTGGAGGGCTTGTAAGTGAGGCTGCCTGGTCTCAGAGCCTCCCTCAGCCCATGCCCTAGTCACCTTCAAATGCTGGACATCGTAGGGCCCCCGAAAAATCTGCCAACCTCAAAAGTAATCTGGAAATATTGAGAGCCAGCAAGTGGGTGGGATATTCCATTTTTGTGTTTTGGCTTTGAGGGGCTTACTTATTATTTTTTATTCTTCCGTGTAAGCCAAAGTGCTTTGAAGAGCTTAACACACACATTTATTGTTCTCATTAAAGAAACCTGTTGTAAGGCAAGGTCGAGTTTATACTCCTTGTTGATTCGTTCCGTTCAACAGATTTTACTAGATGTCTACGATGTGAACAAGCACGTCAGGGGTTAAGAGACAAATAACTGTGTGATTGTGTGTGGCATCAAATCCATGAGAGTTTATTTGCAGGTTTCCTGGGTTTCTCTTCCTTTTTCTTTTTTTTCTTAATGAGGGCAGATGAATAATGACAGAGCTGATTTGTAAGAATGACCAACCATACTAACCTTTAAGCAAACTTGGAGTTATCCATTCATTATAAAAAAGAAAGACTAACTCATCACAGCAAAAATTCTGATTCAGCCTCTGCTAGATCAAGTCTGAGCTCATTTGATAATTGTTCTTCTCTGGCTTACTCTTCTCCCTCTACTTATATGACAACATTGGGGGGGGGTGTACTTATTTAAAAACGTTTGTACAGTTTGTATGAGCATTTTTTTTACTTAATTAGTTATGATGGAGAAGTGAAAAAATTATGGCTGAATTTTTGTGTTTTGTTTAATCTGAGTTTTTTAAGTAGTAATTTAAGAATCTGAAAAAATACATTTCTGAATGGCCCTGGGTGCCAGGCACTATGTAGGTCCCACTTTGCCTGGCTTCTGGTACCCATGAGCCACTCAGTAAAAATTAGTTAAATGGAAGTAAAAGCCAAAAAGTAGTGCTGCAGAAGAATGTTGTTTTCTTCAAATATCTACCTGTGGAACATATTATATTAGTATCTTAATACAAAGTATTATAGGCCTAATATTTATAAACTTTAATGATTGTTTATAATGAGAGCTAAAAAGAATAATAATAAAACCTTTAAGTTAATTAATATAATAGGGAACCCAACAAGGAAAAAGTTCAAGCTTAGTGCATGAGTTGACAGAATTCCTTTTAGCCAACATATGTGCCTAGAGGATTCAAGCCAGAGGCTTAGATGAAGAAGCTCTTGGTATGCGTATGTGGCCCAACCTTTGATTTAGAATTCAGGAAGTCCATCTGTGCATTCACTGGCCATTTCAAGGGCCGGTCAACAGTCTACTGGGCCAAATTCTGTGGTCCCTTCTGTTCTGATTCTGATTTGTGGCAGATGTGTCTCTAGGATACAATGTCTTCATGCTCAGTCTCATGCTCAGTCTCATAAAATGCTTCCTTCAAGAGTTCCTTACAAATATAGGAAATAGTCATTATTTCACCTTTATTAAGTTTGGAAATTTTTTTGAAAAAAATAGTTAAAGATATTTGAGCCATCAAGCAACCATACACACTTTAACATATGTCTAAGATGAAGTAGCATAATCCAACCAAAACAGTGCCAGTCGGACAAACCTCCACATTGCCATCAAGAATGGGGTACGTCACTAATAACCTCTGAGTTCCTAACTTTCAAATTCCCATCTGTTAAGGTGTATTAATATGGGGAGTTAGTCTAGCTCTACAATTTGTACTTTGATTCTTGATGCTGATATTGTTAACAGTGAAAGGGTCTGGAAAATGTACGCCTCTGATAATTGTTAAAAGGGTCACTTAAGAAGGTAACAGACCTGAATCCAACTCCTGATCAGAAGCAGAATGATAGGTTGCAATAAGAATCAGTTTCAAATTAAGAGAGACTGGAAGATGACTGAAACCAGAGTTAAAACACTAACTAAATTCATTCAGGAAACATTCAACGTATAGATTCACTTCCCAAGGGAAGCCAATATGGAGCTTTCCTGGTTAATTTGCCAGGGTTGTCTGGTAGTGATTAGAAGTACCTGTTAATCTATCAACTGTTGTTACTCGTTAAACTGGTTTGGTCCTTATTCACCTTTGATTTCCTTGTGACCAGGATTATATCAGAGGGATATACTATTCTCATTTCTTAAATAGAACACTGACATCCTGTAAAATGCAATGCTACCTCAAAGTACATTTAAGCCCTATTAGGAAGACTTACTCTCTGGCATCAGCCTGAGAGTCAAACTTCAAAAAATATGGTAGAAATGAACCATTTCAAAGGTTTGTGTTAAGTATAGACGGTACAGAAAAAGAGGGGAGAAGGAGGAGGGGGAAGAGAAAAAACAAGTTCTGAGCTTAAAAACCTGGAGTATTTTTATGGCATATGTTATAATCAAATTTTATTTCTATTTCTTAATGAAAATATCTTTATTGTTTTTTTCTGATGTTAATACACATTCTTTTTGTCAAAATATAAATACAGAAAAGCACAAAATAGAATGTTAACATGCCCCATAATATTAGCCTCTAACAAAAACGTATGTTAACAGTTTGGTATATAACCTCTTGTTTTGCTTCATTGTTTTTGCATCTAAAATATATGTGTGAATAATAGTAGTAACAGCAGCAGTAGTAGTAGAAGTTATTTTACAAAAATGGAATCATACTATGTACTATTCTGAAGGTTACTTTCTTAACTTAGCCATAAATGTTCAGCATCTTTTCATGTTAGAAAATATGGTCCTTTTTCACAGGGAGGGGAACACCACACACTGGGGCCTGCCGCAGGGGTGGTAGGAGGGAGAGCATCCTACCACCCCAGCGTGGTAATGCGTGTGGGGCTTAATACCTATGTGACGTGTTGATAGGTGCAACAAACCACCATGGTACACATGTACCTATGTAACAAATTACACATCCTGCGCATGTATCTGGAACTTGAAATAAAATTTTATACAGCCCTTTTTAATATAATAGGATCAGGAGACTTTGGTGTGACTCTTCTGTCATTTTCTTTCTTTCTTTCTTTCTTTCTTTCTTTCTTTTTCTTTCTTTCCTTCTTTCTTTCTCTCTCTTTCTTTCTTTCTTTCTTTCTTTCTTTCTTTCTTTCTTTCTTTCTTTCTTTCTTTCTTTCTTTCTTTTCTTTTCTTTCTTTCTTTCTTTCTTCTTTCTTCTCTCTCAGATGGAGTCTCACTCTATTGCCCAGGCTGGAGTGCAATGGCTTGATCTCGGCTCACTGCAACCTCTGCCTCCTGGGTTCAAGCAATTCTCCTGCCTCAGCCTCCCAGGTAGCTGAGATACAAGCACTTGCCACCATGCCCAGCTAATTTTTATATTTTTAGTAGAGACAGGATGTCACCATGTTGGTTAGGCTGGTCTTGAACTCCTGACCTCAGGTGATCCATCGCCTCGGCCTCCCAAAGTGCTGG